TCAATAACTTCAATGCCCCTCCAACGACATGAGCGCCCTCTTCCCTATTCCACTATCCAGTCGACCAACTGGCAATTATCTCTGACAGTTGGTACGATCTCCTGTTTCGTTTGCAATCCCCGAACTTCTGCAATCTTGGCGCTTCACCTTCCTGAAACTTTGGCTTCTAAACCCCAACCCGCCTACCCCTTCGACCTACTGCGAAGCTATCACTCGTTACGACCGCTGATAAGCTTTGTTTTCCTTCACTGTTCAAGGACAGGGTATTCTCTGATTACAAGAAATCATTCGGAAAACTCACCATGTAATCAATATTGATGAATGGATCATTTACGGAGACTACTTCGACGGTGTCCTTCTCGACGGCAGCGCGAAGCACCAAGCGGCCAATGCGGCCAAATCCATTGATTCCAACCTTGGCTTTTCCCATTATTAAGTCTGGATCGTCGTCAAACAAAGCACACTTTGGCTGAAAATATGCACAATTTCATTAGAGCACGGCAGGTGCTGAGAATATCGACGTCACGAACAGTTCAAAAGCAATTGTATTGAGTTAAAAGAGAAATGAAGCGCACCAGAATCCCTCCCATGATTTGCGGATGTTTGTAAATGTATAAAAGTCTTGATCAATCAAACTTTATGAACAATTAGGACGATTACGCTTGGAAATGCACCAGGACACAACTCTCCAGATGAACGGGAAACAGTCGTAACGCCGGTATTCTGAGCAAAACATGCTGATTATCACACGGAAAGCTTCAAAAAGTCGGACGGTTCCAGATGTGGACCACTTTTAGCGCACGAGCAGGTGGCAGGCGCTGGAACAGCACAACTAGAGAACCACGGCAGTTCGGGGCGACGGCAAACGACGAACTGACAGCGCCGAACGAGGCGCTGCGAGGCAGAGAAAAAAAACGCTGCACAGCCCCGCCCCGAGATCGATTCGGGAGAGAGTAGGGGCACGGAAACAAGGGCAATACAGCCGCTGCACACGACAAACAGGGGTTTCGAACCATGAGCATCGCGATGGTGTCGGAATGACGTGACCGATCCTGCACGGCAGACAGTGGCCTTCATCCGGAATCGACGTTGCAAGAAGATGATGAACGTACGGTATCGTCTAATGCGAATAGATCGAATGAGAAGTACCGTCAAACAAGGTAGACTTAAATAGCCGTGCGTATCATTATCGACCGCAATCCCTTCACAGGCAACAAACAAACCGATTGATCAGCGCAGATACATGCAAATAATCGCCCGATTCAGAAGCGATGTTAAATATCATACACACTGATCCATAATCGTGACAGCTAGGTTGCCACTAGATTGTCTTCTTACTCTACGTCTTGGTCAATCAACAGATAAACAGGCAATGAAAGAGATTGATACTACAAAAAGAATACGGTGCTATACAAGTGGGGTGGGCACGCCCAGCTTTTCACGCATGTCAAGTGACTGCCCTCACCCCCCACCCCCCTAGATTGGCTACACTCCCCCTGGCTCACG